CTGCTGTGGTAACAGCTTTTGGTGCCCCTTTGGTCTTACTGTCATGTGTCTTACTGTCATGTGTTACAGGCACTAATTTTGTCTGACTAATTTGTTAGGGACCTATTTGTCCAATAGGAAAAAATTACAGGGACTAAAATGGTCCTCGACCCAAATTGTGGGGGACTTATAAGGCATAAAAGGGAACCCAGAATTCAGGTATGTTTACACATGACCCCAAAATGACACAGCATACAAATATTGTAACAAGACAAGCAATAAATCAAAAAGTAGTACTGTTTGACAGTATAGAAAACAATCATGACAGTGAATACAGATAGTAACCAAACTGACATAATCTTCCAATCATTTCACATCAATGACAGCAATTCCAAACTAGTAATGACATAAGAGATTTAGTAATCCATAAAGCATATTTCATTGATATCATGACTGTGTACTTACAATTGGCACTGACATAATAAACCATTAAGTAGGAACACTATGTATTCCCAAAAAACAAAGTGTTCATACTTAATGTGGCCATAACCAGAGGCATACAAAAAAAAGTCATTGGTGAATAATTTAAACAGGGCCAAAACCAATGTAAACCAAAAAAACTTGCCTAATTACAATTCCAAGCTAATGGCCTAATAACAAAAAAAATGCCTCCTAAGACATTCGAACTGGCCTAATGTCAGTGATTACAATTCATGTTCAGCTATGTGGGGCTGGCCTAGGTGGCCTGAGTCCTGGTGTAGTCATGAAGCTCATGAATCTGGCTCTGGTGCCACTGCTAGCTGCAGCTGCTGTCTCACTGGTCACTGCCTCAGCAGGATTGCATGGTGGTGGGCTGCTGGCTCTTGGTTCAGCTGCATTTGGTGCATGCTGGCTGCTTGTCTCTGGTGGAGGGCCCTGACCCATGCTGATGAGGATCTCTTCAACTGACCTTAACTGGCCAACTTCAACATTAACCGGTTTAGTTTTTTTCTTTGATCCACCAGCAGGTACCTTACATGTCTTGGCATAATGACCAGTCTGACCACACTTGGAGCATTGAACTGTGTAAGTCTTCTTAAGCTTCTTGTTGGTCTTCATAAGCTCTTCAGTTGGATCCTTCTTGCGATGCTTTTTTGGACGTCCAATAGGCCTTTTCAAGTGTGGAGGAAGTGGTTTTGGGGCATCACAAGTTGGCCAATATTGTTGGGAATTGACTGGGTTCAGAGTGTGTTCATAAGTGGCATGCAAAGCATCCACTGTTAGCCATTGGTGAACATGATTTTCCACAGGTTCATTCTTGTGTGCAATGGCAGCAATGACATGTTCACAAGGCAATCCAGTCAGCTGCCACACATTACAGCTGCAAGTTTGCTGAGTTAAATTCACCCCAACACGTTGACCCTTTCCAGAAACTTCATACAGATCTTGGACCAAGTTTCCAGTCCATGTTGGTGTCCAAGAATTTCTTGCAACCTTCAACTGGTCCAGCTTCTTCTGTTATGCCGGTGCTATCTTACCCCTAAAGGTTTGTAGAATCCTCTTGTGTGCTGCCATCCTTCGCATTATGTAGCACCTCAATTCCTCACACAATGTCATTATAGGTTTGTCCCTATAATTGACAATCTTTGCATTCCACACCTCAGCCATATTATTCGTGATGTTGTCACATTTAGGCCAGTGACTGTAATAGGCTTTAACCCATGCTGAAGGGTGTATATTGTCAAGATACTTCCAAGCTGGTTCATTTAGAGTCTTCAACCTTTGCATTACCTTCTCAAATTGGGGAACAATGGTGCATCTAGCACATTCCCATACAATTCCTCTTGTCTCTTTATCCTTCCATTGCTTGATGAAGTTCTTCCATACATGTTGTACACAGAACCTGTGGTGTGAACCTGGCATAATTTCCTTTAAGGCTGGGACAAGTCCCTGTATGTGAATGACAGTGAATAAAAATTAAAATACAATCTCAAATCAGCATGAATAATATTAGCATGTATAAGGGGAATTTACAGTGCTGGATTTTTAGGTGACCATATTAAAAGAACTGTTGTAGGGACCAATTTGTACCCCCGATAATATTGTTAGGGACCAAAATGGTCCCTTATGTTAAATAACAAGGACTAAAATGGACCTCGATGATATTTATGGGGGACTAGTTAAGGTTATTAAACATCATTAGATAAGGCAAACACAACACACATACCACATGATTTCAGAAACCAGATACTGCATGACATTGGCAGCAACAGACATGAAAAAATTGTAAACAATCCACATTATTCAATAAGATCCATGACAGCAATGGTAATGGCAGAAGCTTGCTTGCAAATATTCATTAACAGCAAGGCAATGACAACAACACATAACACACATACCAGAACACACATACGAAGGACAGCAAACAGAATACTACATGGTCATCAATGACAGCAACCAGAACAAACAGGACAAACTTGGCAATCCAAAATATTCATTAACATCATCAAACAGAATTACTAAGGACAGCTTCATCAACAACAGGACTATGACAAAATATTCATTAACAACCAAAATACAATTAAGTATGACAATTCTATATGAAATAAATAATTGGAAGCACAACCAAAAAAACCTTACCTTCTGTTGATCCGAGATGAAGTTCCAACCAAATACTGCATTGTCCCCTAAATCTTCCTGTAATAATGTCAGAAACCACTTCCAATTGTCCTTCGTCTCACTATCAACCACGACATATGCAATCACATAAAATTGTTTGTTTGCATCTTCACCCACAGCACTCAATAATTGACCTCCATAATAGCCCTTCAGAAAGCATCCATCCAACCCAATTAAGGGCCTGCATCCAGCTTTGAATCCCTTCTTACAAGCATCAAGGCAGATGTACATTCTGTCAAATATTGGCAATGCTTGTGGAATAGGTTGGGGGGTGACTTGCAATTTGCAACTGGAGCCAGGGTTGCTCCTCAATAGTTCTGACAAATATTCCCTTAATCTTCCATATTGCTCCTTTTCACAACCTTCAATGGTCCCCTTTGCTTTTTTCAAAGCCTTACTTACTTTCTTCAGATCCAAATGCACATTGTATTCCTCCTTCATGTGCTCAAATGCCTCTGTCCTTGTCATCTTGGGTTGTGTTACTATTCTCTGCTCCAATTTCTTGGCCACTCAATCTCTTGTAGCCCTTTTATTCTTGAAGACTCTACAACATGTATGAGTCTCTTTAAAAGTCTTAACTTGGAATGTGCTTTGCTTACTGTTCCAGGCACAATACACCATCCATTCACAGTCTTCTACACTGCATTTGGCCCTTACTCTCACCTTGTCATTCTTAACCCATACGAAGTTCCTACCAAGACTGATATTGTAATCTTTTACTGCACCCTTAAATTGGTCCAGATTCATAAACTCCATACCAAGTTCTAAATAGACATGCCCAAAAGAAGCTTGCTCATTGAACTTTGGAATAACAGGTCTAACATTCTCATCATCATCACTTGAAGGAGGAGTCCTCAACTCCTCGGACAGATAGGTATACCCTTCTTCCTCAAATGACATCATGGCTTCCTCTTCATCAACTTCTTCAGATTCAGAGTCTTGTATTGGGGCATCCTTCTTGACTGCCTTCCTCCTTGGGGTCTGTTTTGCAGGCCTTTCTTTCTCTACAATTGGCACTGACATATCATCATCATCATCTTCTGAATCATCCTCAACACCAGGTGGGGGAGGCTTGTAAACCTCATCCTCTGCACTCTCATATGAATCTGAGTGTGAGGTAGCATGGTCATCATCTGCATTGTCTTCTTCAGACCCATCATCTGCACTGTCTTCATCATGGTCCGAATTGATCCCATCATCACCTTCTGCATTCAGGTCATCAGCAGCCCGTGCATGGTCTTCATCCAAATTCATCCCATCATCACCTTGTGCACCAAGGTCATCAGCAGCCTGTGCATGGTCTTCATTTTCTTTGACCCCAACATCACCTTGTGCACAACCTTCATGTGAACCGACCCCATCATCAACCTTTTCATGGTCGTCATTATGTGCTGAATTAATGATATTATCCTCTTCACTGTCATGTGTAGGTGAAGCAAACTGGGGAATTGAGATGCAGCCCTCAAAGTAGACATGTATCTCATTGCCATTCCCTAAAGCAGCCTCACACATAGCACACACATCTGAATCTGTACTAAGAGGTCTCAGCCCCAGATCCAAATCGGGTACCCCAGGCTGTAGCCACATCATCCTCTTGTATTTTTCATACCCATATTGCTTAAACAGGGTGTCAAGGTCACGAATATTGCAGTAGTCAATGTCCATCTCCGGCAATGAGTCCACCCTTCCATATATATAGGTCATCACTCCATCTTCATCTCTGATAAACATACCACCGTGATGATAGACAATAACTATGTATTCGGACATCTGTCAAAACCAAAAAACCAATCCTATCATTAAACCATGAAGCCACAGACTTTGAAAGTGTTAAACAATACAAAGCAATAAAAAAGCAACCTTTTTTATGGATGCAGACATGTATTCCAACGATTAACATGGGGTTTTTAAATATTTTTAAATGGGTCAACCATGGCAGGGACCACACCACCTGGTTGTTACTTTCTTTTAAAACAAAACCCTAAATGGAAACATGGACCACAAAGTTCCACTTCGTGCAGACAAAAACAAGCATTAAACAAAGGGGAACGACATGGGGACCACAAACATTAAACAAAGGATGACAAACAACAATATAAAAAAGTTTCAACTTATAAATACTCATACCTTTTTCAACGGAATGCTCAGCCTCACAAAGTATCCAAATATGGCCCTTATTTCTTCCACTGGTTCCCTTCGATTCTGGAAAAAGTTGGCAATATTCTGAACGCAAGCACCAGGGTTTAATGGACGGTCTTCTTCCTTCCTTCTCAACGATGAAGTGTCGATGTTAGAAGAGCGGGAACAAGTAAAGTGTCCAACGGTTAGGTGAGGGGCAAAATTGGGTTTTTGAAAAAAGGGTTGTCCAAGTGGCTGAGTTTGTACCAAATGACGTCGTCCAACCACTCCACGTGGGCAACCGCATGTCACTTAACGTGACACATCAGCACCGTCACTCACTCCGTCAATTTTCATTTGACAGAAGGACTAACGTGGGACCTGTTTGACATTGTTGGGGACTTTTTTTTGAGTTTATTTTTCTTAGGGACTAATTTGGCCACCGCATTTTTTGTCAAGGACCAATTTGGGTCTTTACTCTATTTATAATAACATTAATTGATTGTTATAATATCTTACCGATTCCCGGAAGCCTACAAAGCCCAATTTGTCTCCGACAAATAGCCGCTTGTTGCTCCGCAACAGCCGTAGAAGGTTCTCCACGTCACACACGCTTATTCGTCATTACACAAAATTTGCGATGCACAGAATCATTACCAAAAGTTTCTAAAACCAGAACGAGTTTGAACTTTGGAGTTTTCTTTCCCTCCATGGCGGTGAGAGGAATTTGTATTCGTCAATTTCGTTCGTTAATTGATTCAATCCCTAACCAAAACCACATTTCGGGGTTGATGATGATAACGATAGTTAAGAGTAAGAGAAGAGAAGATGCCGATCGAAATGCCGAAGGGACTACCTTTCTCGGTGGACACATGGAGTCCATCATCGAAGAGTACTAAGAGGCACCATTTCCTCACACATGCCCACAAAGACCATTCCTCTTCCATCACTTCCCATTCTTCTTTCCCAATTTACTCTACACTTCTCACCAAAACCCTAATCCTTCAACAATTCCCCCAGGTCTATTCGACTCTCTTATTTTTCTTTTCTTTCATTTTTCGCCCCTTCTCATGCGTCTCAATCTCGATAGCTTCTTCTTCTTGTTGTTGTTGTTGTTGTTGTTGTTGCAGCTTGATGCTTCCTTGTTTCTGGGAATTGAGGTTGGTCAATCCTTGATCATCGATGATCCTGCTGGGGACTTCACTGTCACCGCTTTCGACGCCAATCACTGCCCTGGTATTTTTTCATTAGTTATAATTTATTTCAATGAATTATTCAATTTTTGTTAATATATTCTGTGTTTAATTGGATTTATTTATGAGGACAAAGATTCATTCGTTCTCTTTTGTTTGGAATGCATTTTGTTTTATATTCTTCAGGGGCTGTGATGTTCTTGTTTGAAGGCAAATTTGGTGACATTCTGCACACAGGAGATTGCAGGCTCACTCCTGAGTGTCTGAACAACTTACCTTATAAGTTTGTTGGGAAGAAGGGAAAAAAGCCACGCTGTCCTCTTGATTGTGTTTTCTTGGATTGTACTTTTGGTAATTTCTCTCAGGGGATGCCTAGCAAGCAATCCTCTATTCAACAGGTCAGGTACCTTTTTCCCTCTTTTTCACTTACATAAAGCACACCCTAAAGCCCCTTAACCTTTTTTCTGTTGTGTTTAATTTGCACTAGAAGGAAATGTGTGATTTAGGTACTGACCTTGGTTGTTTATATTGTCCTGGGGATAAGCTGGTTACTTGTGTAAAGCTTGAGCTAAATATTCCTTCCTCGGTATAAAAATAGTATTAACTTAATAAGCTCTTGATATGCGATTGTAAATATTCATTTGGCATGCTTTATGGAAGCAGAACTCGTTGAAGAATGTTTAATGATTAGTATCTTATTGTGAGCTCAACATTGTATTTTAAGGACATGATTTTTATCTGAGTATCTTGAATAGCTTACGTGTTCGTTGTATGACAATGTATGTTATGGGCATTTTGTATATATAACAGTTAGGTATAAATAACAATATCATTTAATTCCCAGCTTCATATTTAACGCTTTCAACCTGAACTATTTCCAGTTGCCAATACACATTTTTATGTATGTGTGTTGAAACTTGAATAACAGATGGGTTCTTTAACCCCAGCCTACTACATTTATACTTTTACTTGTAGCAGTTCCAAACTTTCGATGTATCAAGGTTCATATTGCTGAGTTTTTTTTTATTATTATTAATAAATTGAATCCATCATTCTGCAATATCATTAATCTTTATGAATACCGATAATTCCATCTCAAAGTTCAGCTTATGTAACTATGAAGCAGGTTGTTAATTGTATATGGAAGCATCCTGATGCATCAACAGTGTATCTAACCTGCGATGTGCTGGGTCAGGAAGAGATCCTTGTTAATGTGTCCCAAACATTTGGATCCAAGGTATATGTTGATAAAGCCAAAAATCTAGAATGTTACAAGAACCTAGCACTTACCGTGCCTGAAATCCTTTGTGAAGATCCATCTTCTCGTTTCCATTTGTTTGATGGATCTCCAAGACTATATGAAAGAGCACAAGCGAAGCTGGTTGAGGCCAAGGCAACTCTCCAACCTCAGCCTCTCATTGTCCGTCCTTCTGCACAGTGGTATGCTTGTGAAGAAGAGTTCTCAGATATTAAAAACACTAGAAAAAAGAGGATGAATGAAGCAATTAAGGATCCGTTTGGTGTTTGGCATGTCTGTTACTCAATGCACTCATCCAAGGAAGAATTGGAATGGGCACTTCAACTTCTTGCACCTAGGTGGGTTGTTTCAACAACCCCTAGCAGCTGCAGGGCTATGGAGCTGGATTATGTTAAGAAACACTGTTTTAACACTAAATTAGCACTCAATAACTCTATGTGGAAGCTTCTGGATATGACTGCGGAAACTTCTGATGATGTTGATGCATTGGTCAAATCTGTAAGCTGTTATCCTGTGCTTGAAGGTACCCCTCAGTCTTGTGCACAAACTAAATCACCAGTCAAACAGTCCACGGACGCTAAAGCAACAGAAGAATTGTCTCTTCCAGGCAAAAGCTTTCCTGTCACATTATTTGGAAGAGCAAGGCTCAGTCTCCAAGATGTTGGTTTTTCTCGAGGAGGGTGTAATATTTTGCCTGTTGATGTCCCTCCTCAAACGGTTTCGAGTGATGGGCGACAAGAATTCTTGGACTTCGTGGAGGATACTGAAGTGAAATGCGAGAGGTCACCCGAAGGAAAGGAAGATTTACATATAGTGAAGAAGTATCAGCAATCTGAGGTTCAGGAAGACACAAGAGTTCATAAGAGTGCCTCTTATTTAAATGTTGGATCTTCAGGTTTGAGTGAAAGTGTCAGAAAGTTGTACAGGTCAATGAATGTTCCTGTGCCGCAACCTCTTCCTTCCTTAGTGGATCTTATGAATTCCAATAAACGTGCCAAGAGGGGATTTGATTATTAATCTTGCTTTTCTTCAGTTAGATTTGATTCTTAAGATTTTACAAGAATTTATTTTACCTTACTCTTTTTCAAACTACCATCTATGTTGCAAGAGTATTTGACAAGCAGCAGCAATGTGGAAGGGAAGAATTTGCAGAAGCACTGTAGAAGTGTTGCCAACTGTAACAAGTTATAGTCGTTCTTTTCTCTTTGAATAAGAGATGCATCAAAAGATGCTTCATACGAAGGAATTAGAATGTTGAAGAGCTCTATGGTATTATGGCAATTCAAATAATTGTTTCTAAAGTACTGCATATAAACACCAGGTTGAGGCCTGACAGAGCAGCGAAGTCAAATGGCAAGCTTTAAAAGCCATAGAAGCGGTCCGTAGCTAAACTCAGCATTGTTGTATTTCTGCTTTCTTTCTTGATTAACTGTCGCATGGTTCAGGTGCTTCAATGAATCAATTGTGCAATTTGAGTGAAGAGATTCATTCTACTGTTTTGACATGGACAATAAGCTGTATTGCAGCAATCAGTACTAACAAAAACATTTTGTTTTACTGCTTTTCTTTACCTAATGTGCAAATGAAGTGTATTTGCATATTGATTTTCATACGTAATATCATCAATTTGTTGATAATTTCTCTTGCAGTGTATCAGAGTTTTGACCTTATATTTATTAAAAATAGTGAAGCACAAATACAATGATAGTCATCACCGAAAAACTTATGCTGGGTGGCAGTAATGATTGTCCCAAATCATTGACATGAGCCATTTGAAGTGATCACACGCAGCTAGACTAAAAATGGGGTAGAGTCTGAGATGGTGTTTCAAACCAAGCTTTGAATCATACTCTCATACAGACATCAGAAAAAAATAATGTATTATTTATCTATTTAGCATAGTTCTCTGCCCCAACTGGATGTCATAGCCTCTCATAATTGAGCTTCTCTGACTGCAAGGGAAAAAGAAAGGAGGTAACTTTGACACTTCAAAAGCAGCTAAAATGAAAAGAAACGAGTCATATATTTGTAGAGAAAGATGGCCAATTTACGTCAGATTTCAGTTACAATTGGACCAGGCAAGGCAATCATCTGCTACTTAGCAGAAGGGCGTTATCAATGTTTTGTTAGATACAAAATAACCAGTCACAAGTCCGAAAGTTCAATTAAACAAATGGATACTATTAGACAGTAGTAGCCATCGGAACAAGTTAAATTGTACCTTGATAAGCATGTATGTAGGAAGCCAAGCTGGAGCAGTGGGGACCCCTACCCAGGCAACCTATCAATTAAGCAAGGGTTTTGGTCAGAATAAAACATTAAAATTGTAACAATTCACAATTTTTTCCATAATTCGAATTAAGTACAAAATATTTCATGCCATTAGTTGCTTTTGGTTTAGCTTTGCTTGACCTACATAACATCATTGGCATTATAAAAAGATGTAGATTTGACTACTGTATTTATAAGAAAAACATTGGACTGACTCTTTCTTTCTTTTCTTTTTAACAAAAAATAAAATCAGTATTAGATGAATCCAGAATGAGAGAGATGTAAGTTACTTACCAGTGCATGCTCTCCTGTATCAAATATACGCATATCCAGGACCTAGAAGAGTTACATGCTTTCAGTTACATAAAATGTGATGACACAGAACAGAGCTGCTGCATGCGAAACTAGTTTGACATATTTTGTTATTTACCTCACCACGGTCTTCATAGATGTAATCTAATCCTTTATAATAAGGTGGGTGCCCAACAGAAAGATACTGTTACAGTAATCTCGCACATGTCAGTGTTCCCAGTTCAAATCATTATAATTGAAACGAAAATAAATCCCAAGGAATATGTGAAATGGGAGTACAAAATTCGTTCCTTTCTTACATTAATGCTATTGAGATATTTCTCCTTGTCCACCCTCACAATCTGACCTTTCTTCACTGTCCATAAAAAAAAATAAAAAATAAAGATCAAATGGAACTTTTAGTCTCTTAAATGAAAAGAAAAGTTCTGATCAATAATTATTTGACTCACTGGAATAGACAGGTTTCTTTGGAGTCTTAGGAGCAGCACTTGCAGACTGAGCATTAGGGGAGCCTTCACTCTTAGTTTGTGGAGTGTCTGGTTCTTCACCACCTTGTACTGCACGAATCAATGGGAAATGAACATGTTTTTTTCTCAAAGCTTGTGGGGTGTGAGAAAGACGAGGGAAAGAGATGTTGTAGAGAGTTAAAGAGAACGCCATGAACATGAATTGAGACACCGTGTTCACTGTCACATATATTTATTACATACACTAAAGATAAGAAGATGACACTCCTCGCTCATTCAAAGCATGCCATGTCATCAAGAAGAATACAAATGTCCATTCAGTACCTACAAGAATTTTATAAAAAGAGAGAGAAGAAAAGCTATGTATTAATATATGTATTTATTTATTTATTTATTTTAAGTAAAAGTGATATTTGAATCATGCACTGCACGTAAAATGCACGGGAGGTTTTTTTTTGTTATTTTGCACAGGAGCTTTTACATCTATATATCCTATCAATTGTCAAAGTTTCTTATAACAAACTATGAGGTGGTAACGCTAATAAAACAAATAATAAAAAGAAGAAATTTCTACATATTAAAAAATACATATATTAATACTATGAATCTCCCTTGTCTTGCTCGCTTCCCTGAGCGTGTTGTCCCTCCTGTTTATACTAAAGTTTCCACCACAGCCATCAGGTTCACCTTAAGTTTTTATTATTATTTATTTATTTTAACTTTTCAGTTAGGCATTTTCTCAAACAGTTTTGGCTCAAGTCTTAGCTTTTTTTTTTCCTTGTGTTGGGGTTTTCAGGAGCAATAGAGTCGAGAATATTGCAATTGAAGGCCATAATCTGAATTTTTCATTCACCACAAGGCAAGCAAAGGCTGTGCCAGTTCTTCGGGATTGTTCACTTCGCATTCCCACTGGCCAGTTCTGGATGCTTCTTGGACCCAATGGGTGTGGAAAATCTACTCTCTTGAAGGTACTATGAGAGACACTGTTACATTGTGTGAGTGAAAGTAAGAGTTCTTGTTTTCTAGTAATATCTTGCTGTGTAAACATGAGCGGTATGTGCAGATTTTGGCTGGTCTCTTGAGTCCAACTTCGGGAACAGTGTCTGTGAATGAGCCTAAAAGTTTTGTTTTCCAGAATCCAGATCATCAGGTTCTTTCTTTGTTTGAAATATTATTTTTTTAGTGCTACTTGATTCATCGCTATCATTTGATGAGAGTTTACAAAATTTAAATTCAGAGATAGGGACCTCAGAAAATATAAGCCAAGTTAATGTGAGGAGAAAAAGAAATTTCAAGTTTTAATATTCAGTTATCTTGCTTCCGTTACTATGCTGTATGTAGACTCTATTTGTAAAGAGCTTCTAAAATGTAGTTAAAAAAAAAAACACCACTCCCCATTAGAACTAAGGAGGATGGGGTGAGGTCAATCCTTGTACGTAGCCTTACTCTTATATATTTGTGAAAAAGGCTGTTTCCGGATTCGAACACGTGACCTTTCGTCACAAAAGAACAGCTTTATCATTACTCTAGGTTTGCCCTCTTACTTCTAAAATATAGCTATTTGATAAAAAAAAATTGATATAAAAGTTCATTTTTTATACCATATTTTTTGTGATGGAAGAATAAGTTAATGCTGCAACGTCTCATACTCAATTTTTCGAGCAAATTTTGAGGCATTTTCCAATCTTTCCGTATACCTTTTTTTTTTCTGAAAAAAAAAAAAAATTTCTTGAAAACATTCCCATCAGCTGTCACTATTTCCATAGATCTTGCTGCCATTGCCACTGTCCTGACTACAACTAGTATCCTGTTAGCAATCTAGATTTGAGATTTGATATTTGATTATTGTTGCTTGATTTTCTTAAATTGTTTGTTCTGTATAAGCATGCCTTCTTTTACCTTTGCATCTCAAAGGGTAACAAGTGATGCTTAGCTTTTCGATTCTGTTTTTTGTTGTTAACAATGATGTTTAGGTTTGGATAGACTATACACACTTTTAAGAAATATTTAGTTGAAAAGTTACTATGTAAGCTGAGCGAACCAAAGTATCAATAAAGAGGCCTCTGTAAAGGATTTTTTTTTTTTTTTTAAGCCAAGCACAACATACTGCATGTTTAAGTTTTGTGGATTCCTATGCAAAGGAAAATATGATCTACCTTGTCCTATAATCTCTTCTTTCCAATTCTATATTTAAATGTAGTGAGAAGGCAAAAGAGGGAGGACTATTTTTTGTTTAATGCATGCCATGTTGTCAGATCTTCTCCATATTTTTCCTTCTACAGTTTTCCTTCATGTCAGAGCATGATCTATTCACTCACTCTAATGAATAACTAGAGTTTTGTTGGCAATAGTGCTTTCTTATGAATTTGATCATTTTATTACTTATCTTTCTAAAATATACTTAAATCTAATCTCCATTTAAATATTTTCTTAATGTTTGCAGTTTGGATACAACTATTGCAATAAAATAAAATTTGTTCACAAAATATGAAAGTAAAAACTTGATTTTGTTATCAATCTATAACCACTGAAAAAGATCCACCAAAATTTTGCAGCTTGAATGTGTATGTAGGATGTATGTATAATAAGTCTGTCAAGTGTGAAGCATTACATTTGTTGCAGGTTGTGATGCCTACAGTAGATTCTGACGTTGCATTTGGTCTTGGTAAGTTTAATTTGACCAATGATGAAGTAAGATCTAGGGTGTCAAGAGCTTTGCATGCTGTAGGCTTGTCTGACTACATGAAGGTATTATGAACGATAACCTTGAACACTACAACAAATGCGTGAATTATTTAAGAAATGAACTTTTCTTTTGTTGCAATATTCAGAGATCTGTACAAGCACTTAGTGGTGGTCAGAAGCAGAGGGTTGCCATTGCTGGTGCTCTAGCAGAAGCTTGTAAAGTTCTGTTGTTGGATGAACTCACAACTTTCTTAGATGAAACTGACCAGGTGATCTATGAATTGTGATATGTGTTTTATGATGTCATGTTTATTGAAAAAGCATGAAGATTGAGATGTAGAAATGGAAGGAAGCAAGGAATTTTTACCGTCTACAAAATACTAGCTGAAATCAATGTTCTTTCTTTCTTTCTTTTGGCTTTAATGTTTCTACGGTGAATGTAGATAAGTTATAAATATTTGCTCTCAAAACGACGTTGCTTTGGGTTGAAAAATAAAAAAATTATAATAAAAAGACTATTATAACTCTGAAATAAGTTATAATTACAAAAATACCTTGATTTCTGCCTCAAAACGACGTCGTTTTGGGCTCAATGTAGTTAAGTTATCTACATTGACCGTAGAAAAAGCGAACCCTTCTTTTTTTCATTATCATTTTCTTTTTGTAGGCCTTTTATATGCTGCATGTGACATATCATATGCACACTGACAGAGAACAATGCCACTGAGGCAGTGTCTATTGTATCTTTCTTACATCTGAACATATTGGCCTTCTTATTCTAAGCATGCTATTAACATGTGACTTCACTTTTTGTGCCTACAGTTGAATCTGTTCATATTAGTATTAGATAATTTTGGTGTAAGACCAACACTTTTTGATAGATGATTTGCATTTTTTTCTTTTAAGGTCGGGGTTATCAAAGCTGTAAGGAACTCTCTGGATACCTCTGCAGAAGTTACAGCATTATGGGTCACCCATCGTTTGGAAGAACTAGAGCATGCAGATGGTGCCATTTACATGGAAGATGGGAAAGTTGTCATGCATGGTGATGCGGCAAGCATAAGGAGTTTCATTGAAGACAGGCAATCTGCCTATATTAAACAGATTAATTCTTAAAAAAAGTCTTTGTCGTTTCTAAAATTTTTTCCTGTTAGCTATTGAAATTTGAAACTAAACTTACTTGATTGGTAGGTTACATGATAGTATCTCATTTTATTTTTCTCCTTCAAAGAAAATTTCATATGAGGAGAATATTTACTTGAAAATGAAAAATTATTCCTTCCTTTCCAATAGGGAGAGTGGCTGGGTGTTGTCTCAGAGACAATAGCACCAGTTAAAAGGAAGGGGTAATTCATTCATGTATATGATGCTGAAGAGTTACTCAAATCTTATATTTTTGCTCAATGTATTCAAATCAAAGTGTTGTAACTTTTTCTGAGCAAATTATATTGATCTTGAAATTTTCTGACCGAGGGGTGTTTTTCTTTTGTTGTTTTTGAAACAAGTCATTTACCTCCAGTCATTTGAGGATCTTCGTTGAAATGTATCTATTGGAAAGGCTTTTCCTAAAAAAAAATTGAAACAAGGGAAGATTTGAAAGTATAAGCAAACTTAGGGTGAGTTTTATACAATTTAGTTCTATAATTTTTACTTTTATTAAGCTAGTAAAGTTAATGAATAGGGCCTTTAAGTTGACAAAATTTTCAGTATTTATTATTGGGAAAAGTTTAAAAACCCTTTTATGGTTTTCTTTAGAATCACTAACTATCTTATTGTTATTTTTTTTTATCATTTATCCCTTATTTTTTTTTTCTTTTTTGTAAGTCCCTTATGGTTTTTTTCCATCAATTCACCTTCTATTCTAATTACGTTAATAAATAAATTAAACTGTCTATGTTTCCCTTATAAAAGGAATTATTGTAGAGATAAAAAATTTACACTGTAATATTTATTTTACAACTTAATTTTTTTTATTTCAACGATGTTAAGAGAAAAATTACAATGAAAACTGCAAGTTATCGACTAATTTTGATCTTCTAATAAGATAATATTCACAACATTGTTAACAAGAATAAACACTTAACTTAGAACAATTATTTTTCTTCTTACAAATTTGTATATCTTTAATAAAACTGACTTGACTTGAGTTTGATAAATGTATTACTATCTTAAATTTAATAAATAAAGTTAAAGATTATTTAAATAATCAATTTATATGTAAATATATTTTCATTCTGGGTTCAAAAATTAAAATATAAAAAGAGTCAGAGATAGGTAACAGAGAAAATAAAAATGTTGGAAAAAATATTAATATATTAAGAAGTAGAATGGTCTATTGATGTATAATATTCACCAACATTACACTCAAATATATGAGTAAATATGCACAAATGAGAAGCAAATTAACCACAAATAAAACAGGAAAATCGAGAAAAAAATTCAAATAATTGAGGAGTCGATTGAGTTAAAATAAAAAGAGTTCAATTTAAATTGAATTCTACATATTCTGATGAAATTAAGGGTTTGAACATGTAATATATGTTTGATTATTTGCTTTAATATTGTAATAAATTTAACAATATATAATTTACTGTGAAGTTGGATAAAAAAAAGCATTACAATATGAAATTTCCATCTCAAGAAATTTAGAAAGATGAGTAGGAATACAATAATATAGAGTTTGGTAGTGATTCTTTTTATAGGGGCAAAATGGATAATGAACCGTTGGTATGACGTGAGAACCAAGTATGTAACCTGGATAAATATTGCGAATTTGCGATCACTACAGGGGTATCCTTCATAGAGGTGGTATAGACAAAAGCTGTGAAAGGCAATCCTAGGTGCTATGTGAAAAAAAAGGGGTGGGTGTTAAGCGAGTGTAATGGCTTTCAATGTGGACAAGGTAACGACTCATGAGGTGATCATTCGATGCCCTTCTTGTGTGATATGAGATGGTATTTATAGGCTCCACTCAGGAGGGGAGTGGGGAGGTGATGCTCTCCGTCAAGTATACCGATCGCACAAGTAATATAATGAATAAGTAGAGTATCGTCTCCACAGGGATTATAAACCAAGTACTACAATAACCAGTCCCCTTAAATTGGAAACTCGGTTGTTTTTGGTAAATTATGAATTGATGGTAAAATAAAGACAGAAATTTAAAATATAATTTTCAATTCAAATAGAAATGGTAAAGTTTGAATTTTTGAGAGAATAATAAAAAGCATTGCAGCTAAGGTACACGCACTATATGATCCCCACTTTAAACTTTGGATTGATTGACAACGTTCATTCAATTTAATAACTCAGACAAATTACCATCTAAAATAATTAGTTAAATCCCAATCCCTTGGCAATCTAACCCTTTAATTCAATTGGAATCCTAATCCCTTAGCAACCCCGCATGAAATTAAGCATTAATCACGATAAATCAAACGACTGCAACTCACACAAGTCTATCCCTAGAGCATGCATAAATTATTATCCCCTTTCAGAATCAAAACCCCAATATTCCTATTGCGAGCCCTAATTCCCAAATTATTATCCCCTATTAGGTTGATCAAGTCTAACAGAAATAATATCAATACGCACAGAGTAAAAATAAAATATATTAAAATAAACGAGCGAAATAATCAATCCATCGCAAAAAGGGTTCACATAGGATTTGTGACCCTAACTACAATAAAAAGAAACTAGCCAACTATTATCATGGCTGACATAAAATTAAATAAGATAAAGATAAAGAGTATAATTACAAAAAGAAGACTAAGAACAATCCTCCGTTCCTTTCCTCCTTCTGCAATCCTTGTTTTCTTTCTCCCTGCCGTCGAAAAGTGCCTTCTTTCTGTCAGCAACGTCGTTTTTATATCCCCAGCTCGTCTTTCCGAAAATACCCTTCAGAAAACACGGTGTATCTTTCCCGCGAACTGGCGCCAGTTGGCGCTGGTGTGGCGCCAGTCAGTGCCATGCCTCTGTCCAAATTGAAAAACCGCTTGTATAGTGGCGCCACTTGGCTCCATTTTGGCGCTAAGTTGCACCATGCTTTTGTAGGAAAACTTAGATTTATGCGGAAGCGGTTTAGGACCTAGTACATTGGTATGCTTACCGAATCATCCTTGTTTCACAATTACCTCTCGGTGCGCAGGTCTCGTGTAGAATCTTCCCTTGTAGGATTCCTCTTCACGAACAGCTCACCTCAGCGCCGCAGCACGAACAACCTCCTTGAAGCTGGACTGTGGCAGATCTTCCAAACTATCTCTCGAGGAGGAAGGGGAAGTGTGTGGGCACTGATTAGATTCAGAGCTTGCCTCTTTCTCACAAAAAAGACCTTTGAGGCTGATGACTTAAGAGGTACTATTTATATGGGTTCCAAGAAACCCTAGCTCATTGGGCTCTAGGTTCCTTGGGCTCTTCTCATACTAATAACCCATTTGGGCTTTAGTAAAAGAGCAAACCCAACAATCTCCCACTTGCTCTTTTGGATACAAACTTGAGTCGTAAAACCCAAGATCATGTAACCCATAAGTCATCATCTGTCCGAAAAATACCCCATCCCTTGTCTCAAGCTAGCTTGGGGATCTACCATCTGTTATTAATCAAGGCTCCTGATAATCAACGAATGATTATCTAATTCGGTGCTACTCCACTAAAAGCCCGAACTTGAACTCCAAGATTAACAACACTTATAACATGAATATGCATCGCCCCTTTGTAGAATGTCTATAATTGATTGACAAGTTTTCTGTAACTCAATCAATTATTTATTCCCTTGACTATGATAGTTTCTTTAATGGATTACATGCACTGGCCAGTGTCTTTAATATCCAAGTACCGAAACATATCAAGGGGACATATCCTACAAATTCCATGTTGTTTATCTCATAAATACCGATAATCAAATAATCTCACTCCCAAAATACCGAGTTATTGGCCGTCAATAGATCGAACCTCACCCGTTGGTAAATCAAAGAATGAAAACTATTTGATTACCTATTTATAATAAACTCAGGATTAAGAGCAATCACATAACTATAGTTAACTGGAGATTTGATACCTTATGACAGAAAAACAACCTTAATCAAATCTCTCCTTGATCCTTTCAATGTGAATGTTAACTCACACCAATATTTTACAATGATTCAGACAAAACCATTTCATAAAATATTGCAGCCTAAATAAAGTGCCCAACTTTATTTAACAGCTGTGAATCCATTCATCAATTGTGAGAACCTATGATCATGTCCTCTATGAACGTATCCATATGATCATATACTCCACAATTTGATCCGGACCTTTATGTTTGTAAATAGTGCGCAAAATAAATAAATAAAACCTTATTTATGAAATTCAGAAAATTATTTTATTGTTTCATTGTCTTACTCCAAGAGCACAATGAAACCAATAACTCCCACTTGCTTAATGCAAGTCTGGGATCCTCCTAAGACCCAAAGAAGTAACATGCCTCTCGAACACAAGTTCAGGCAAACTCTTAGTAACTGGGTCTGCAAGATCCACCTCTAATGCTATCTGAGTTTAGTGAAAAACTCATAGCTCGAGGTTGATTTTCTTGAGTCAATATCCACTTGAAATAACTGAATTTTTGAAAACTCAGCTTTTCAAGACTCCCAACTAGCATATAATCTCTCGTTCTCCAAAGATACTTGAGTACATGCTTAACAATAATCTAGTATTCCTCTAGGTTCAAAATGGTACTATCTCACTACTCCCACTGCGTGACAGATGTTTGGTTTAACGCCCAACATGATATGTGTGAGTCTACCTTTGCCAAAGCATAAGATATCTTGCTCATGCATTCTTCCTTCTTAGAAGTCTTTGGTCACTCCTTAGGAAGATGAATTCCACATCTGAGAATTATAATTCTTCTCTTAGAATTCTCATGTTGAATTTTGGGTTTTGTCAATGTAAGTAGCCTGAGGTGATGCCAACAACTTATTCTTCCGGTCTCATAAGAGTTTTATACCAAGAATATAATTGGCTTCCCCAGTACTTCCATACCAAAACACTAACTTAGCCAACTCTTTATGCTTGATATTACCTCCACATTGTTTCTAATAAGGAGCATATCATCTACATAAAGTACAATAAAAGCTACTGTCTTCCGTTGTATCCTTTACATACAAATACACATCATTCATCAAGGTTCTCTCAAAATCAAAATTTTGATAACCTGATCAAAACTGATGTTTCAAGACCTGGATGCTTGCTTAAGTCTATGAAATAGACTTTCACAACTTGCATACCGTGTGTTCCTACTCATTTGCTATAAACCCTTTTGGTTGTTGTATGTAGATATCCTGACATCCAACTCCCAAAATGTATTCTCATAATTGAGACTTATAGCAACTAAGAGAATCTGG